CCTTTCTCAGTTGAAAATGCATGAGTGCAAACTTGTCAAAAATTATAGATATTTCCATTGCTCGAGTTGTATTTTATAATTGTATAAGAGAATTCCATGAATCAAAAATTTGAATTTTTAGTATACCCTCGTAAGTATAAAAATGTCACTGGTCGCAAAAAATGTCAAATGCCACCCGTTAGTGTGCAATTATCTGATAATCCTGCACTAGTGCAAATTATCACGTAATCGCAATCTGATTGGTTGCAATCAACAATTAAAACATGCCAGATCATAGTTGGAATACCAGTTTTGACCAGATGAATGCAATTCTAATGAAATTCTAATAAAATTCTCTTCAAGATTGACGAATTCATTAACTACTTACTCAAGGTTATGAAAAATAAAACACACCATATTTTTGTATTTATGCACTTCAGGGATTAAAAGTACCCTTTTAATCCCTGTTTTAAGGGAGTAAAGGGGGTCTCTTAATCCCCGGGATTAAATTTCACTTTATTTCCCGGGGATTAAATTTTTACTTTATTTCCCGGGGATTTAATTTTTACTTATTTCCCAGTCAGCAAACACCGATAGAATTATCCGGTTGGTTATTCTAAGAAAAATTCATATATGTAGGGGGGGGGGGGGGTTTCGATGGGTTAAGGAGGAAAATGCGTTAGAAAATACCGAAGAATAAAAAGGGACTTTGACACTGACAGTAGATATGTGAGTCAACCAGGGTTGTTCCTGGGGAATTTTCGTGTGTGCCTGCAGCGACACTCAAATAGTGCCAAATAGTGCCACTTGAGAAAAAGTGATAAGAAATGATTTTTTGATTTTATACTCATTTCTTTTTATTACATGATTAAAAGGGGAAAGATATAATATATTTCATATATTAAATTCATTATAATGACAATTGACAGTCACGTCACTGTCACTAGTCACACTCACATCGACAGATCCGATCCAAGCTGTAACCGAATTTTCGCGACGAATGTACAGCTTATTTTTTCCCAAAGATTTTGACATTGTCAACTTTGAAACATAAACGATGCCGCTAATGCTGCTTATTAGTCGCAAAATGCCATTTGCACGACATGCATTGTAAAACTGATTTCAACCTGCAGGGACACCTCATTTTGCGACCAAACAGAACCAATAAGCGTTATTGTTTTTGTTTCAAAGTTTTCAATGTCAAAATCTATCTTGGGAAAAAATAGACTGTAGTTCATCCAAGGACGAACCATAGTTCATCTGTGACGTCATGAGTTTGAACGCTGGCTAGAAGCTGCGTCCATACTTCCGTCGAACTACTTCAATATGATGTCATGAGTTTTTCGCAAAAGCGTTTGTGTTGATGAAATCATGGAAGTAGTTCGTCGCGAAAATTCGGTTTGTGTTCGTTTTTGTCTTGCGGTTTTGTCATCTTTTTCGTCGATTTGCTCCGAAATTTTGACAAGCACGTGATTTGTGAATTGAAACTGTCTGATGCAGTCACGTGCCTATCAAAATTTCGGAGCCATTAACGAAAAAGATGACAATAACGAACACAGCCCCAATGACCTGACAGATCCATTACAATTCTCACAGGTCAGGACTGGGACTGTCTAATAATAAATGTGAATTGTGCCAAATTTTTTAAAGTGGTGCCACTGTGCATTTTGCGGGCGAAAAGGGCCACTTTTGGCACAATTGTGCCCTTTAAACAACACTGGAGTCAACAGAAAAACCGATTTTGACATACCTATTGTCAGCAACCGTATTCCGTATATGTATACCGGTTATTCAGGCAACCGACATCTACTGAACGTATAACCGTAACCAAGGATGGAAACGGAATAAAGCCTTCATAAATGATAGGTATATGGTATATGCAGTGTTGTTCCTGGAGAAATTTCAAATGAACTGAAACCGCAAGGATAATAAACACTACAGGATTGTCCATAAGGTCTGTGTAGTTCAAATCTCAAGCTTGCCACTACGCAAAAGTACCACTGATGACGTAGTCAGCGTGTCGTTCTTCGCTTTAATGTCGCTTTGACATAGGGTGTTTGAACCACAGGCTATGATTCCGCTGACTTTGGCTTTATGAACTTGGTTTCAGTAGATTAATTAGCATTCAAAAACAAACCTTTCGTTAAAATCTTATCTTCATCTCTACATATTATGTCATCAATCATAAATTTGAATTCCTAACTACGACCGCTGGCGCAAATAGTCCTCGGCACCGTTGATGACGTTGGCAACGGTGCTACACCATATGATGTTGATGCGACAAATCGAGGCCGATGAGCAATCCTGTATCCTGTAGTAGTGTTTATTATCCTTGCTGAAACGGGTCATGCGATTGTACTGTTTTCAGAGCAAATTGTACTGTTTTCAGAGCCAATTGTACTGTCGTAGGAAGTTTGAAATAAAACACGCTGTTAGCCATAGCTGTATTCCTTCCACACAAAGAGGGGCTCCGGAACAGCTCCGTGGCGTTTCTCGTGTTTGTTGCACCCGAAGTGCTCAAGCCCCAATCCCTCCCTTCGGTCCTTTCCTCTCACACACCATCTCACGAGCAGTTCCTTTCAAAGCGGGGTAGGGTCGAGTAAGAGCGCTAATGTTTCAAGCTCTCGAAAGAAATACAGCTATTGCGTTTCTTCTAGCTCTGGACCAGCTGGACATTGGATTTTATTTAATACGAAATACGAACCAAACCAGCAACAAAAATCAGTAGATAGTCAAAGGGGGTATGACTATAAAAATCCGACCATAACCTCAATCTTTCATTCTTGACACGTGGTGGATGCGCCGTCGTTGACTTGAAGGTGGATGCGCCGCCATGGCCCCATCTTGTCGACAGATGGCGCCATGGGACCTGCTCCCGCAGGGCTCTGCCCCCCAAAAAGGGGGTCCGCAGGGCTCCGCCCCCCAAAAAGGGGGCCCGCAGGGCTCCGCCCCCCAAAAAGGGGCCCCCGGATTTTAATATGGGTACCAGAAAAAGGGGTGGGGGGGAAATGTTTGCCCGCCATCTTATCAACCGTCACCTGTCAAACGTCATCTATCAAACGTCACCTGTCAAACGTCATCTGTCAAACGTCATCTGTCAAACGTCATGACGTCATAGCGGGAGTTTTGAGTCGTTCCGGGTTTTGTGATGACGTCATAGCGACCTGGGTCACGTCCGTGGAGTCATTTAGAGTACATAGTGCAAAGTTTGATTCATGGTTCGGGTTCTGTGATGACGTCATAGCGACCTGGGTCACGTCCGTGGAGTCATTTAGAGTACATAGTGCAAAGTTTGATTCAGGGTTCAGGTTCTGTGATGACGTCATAGCGACCTGGGTCACGTTCGTGGCGCCATTTAGAGTACATAGTGCGAAGTTCGTTTCATGGTTCTGTGATGACGTCATAGCGACCTGGGTCACGTGGGTTACGTCAGTGCGGGTCCGTGGCGCCATTTAGAGTACATAGTGCAAAGTTCGATTCATGGTTCGGGTTCTGTGATGACCTCATAGCGACCTGGGTCACGTCCGTGGCGCCATTTAGAGTACATGTGTCAAGTTTGATGTGTCTTATAACAGGATGCTGTGGTGGTGACGTAACTATGAGGGTCCAGCAGCTAGCTTCATGTTGTACCTGGTAGAGGGTGTTCGAACTTAAGGATGATACACACCTACAGTATTGCTCATTGACCTCGTGTGTTACCATTTACGACGCCATAACTAAGTCATCAGCTGTTTAAACAACCTACGTCAAGGCGAGAAATAACATGCTGCTTACGTCACAACTGGTGATTTAACGTTGGGGAGAGAGTGGATTTGTTCCACACAGGCCTTATGAGGATAGGCTATCCTGTAGTAGTAGTGTGTATTATCCTTGGTTGGAACCAACGTTTGATGGGAAAGGGGCCTCGTTTTTTTATTAAAAACATACATTTTTTAAGACATAGCGAATATTTTCCATCAATAAACTGCTTAATATGATCCAATCATTTTGATGGTACCTACGTCTTGGGAGAAACACTGCGTTATCGTCAAATTCAACGAGTATTTCAAATCCATAGCTAAAAATATGCCACAATTGTATCGATTACCTAAGTATATAAGATATTTACTTACTAGGTTAAAATAATAATTTCTGTACAATAGTTTTATGATCTACCTTAATTTGTATAGTTTATTGGTTCCAGTAAAGATTTGCAATTATTTTGAGGTCTCTATCGTAGAAAATATTGGGAACTTTCACTTTATACCAGATCTTATAATTTTCTCAGTGTTTTTGATCCTTTGTTATAAAAAGACAGACCTTGTTGATTGATTTCAAATCCATATCTAAAAATATTCCATAATTCTATCGATATCAGTATATATAAGATATTCACTTACTTGGTTAAAATGATAATTGTTGTGCAATAATTTTATTGTTGTTGACGAGTCTCAAACAAGACTGAAAGAGCTTAATTATTATAAAATCCGATTCAAACTTCGAATTAACAACATAACATACAAAAAACGCTGTCAAAATATTGGAAATTTCACTTTCTATGAGGCTTCAGGTCTTGTAATTTTCTCAGTGTTTTCAATCCTTTGCTAGGAAAAGACAGGTCTTGTTGTTGATTGATATTAGTATATAAGATATTTACTTACTTGGTTAAAATCAAATTAATTGTTGTGCAAAAATTTTATATTTTTCACTGGTGACCAGTTTGAGCGAGACTGAAAGAAGCTTGTTATTATAAAATCCGATTTAAACTTCGAAGTATCACATACAAAAAACACCGCTAAATGCAAACGCTTAATCTGCAGTTTTTTTATCTGAATTATATCAGGACCGTTCGCAGAAATCGCCCGAGAAAAACAACAACACATTTTAAAGATAATTCTTTAGTTTAAGGCGTAATTATTAAGTTAGATAGGTATTAATATGTCCATTTTTATTTTAAAAGGTGACAAATTCAAACAATTTATCAGAATTTAAAAGAATAGATTTAAATTAGCATCGTTGACATTTTATGAGCCAATACCCTTATGCAATACAAAATTTCAGTGGATACATTGTTACCTGTAAAATATGAGGATTCAATTTTTTTTTTCTTTGTACAAAAAACGCAGCATCCAGTACCAGTACTTTGAACCTGGATTTTCAAAGTTTAGTTTTTTGGGCCATAAGTGTCGGTTTCGAAAAACTGTAAGTACTATTTTTAAATATCTAAGTGATGTAGGATAAATCATGCCCCGAGACATATTTTGAATTAACACAAACCTCGATTTTTGAATTATTTTTATTTTCCTTAACACATAAATATATTGTATGTTTTTTAAAAATACAGACAACCCTGAGTACCTACCTATTTCTTAATTTAATTCCAATAGTTTTTTACGCAGCAACTTGAATTTACTTTTTCACTTACATTTGCACAAAACTCAAATTTCTTTTTCTAAAATTTAGGTAGGTTCTTTAACCAATTTAAACTGGTTTTATTTTTTCATTTACTTTAAAACAAACCTCCATAAACAGCGAATTTTTAATTTTGTGTACAAAATGGTTCACCAGGAAGGAGATAACCTGAAACATCATGAGGATTGCTAAACATCTTCCAAGATCTGTAACCAATGTGGTGGGATTTTTGAAGCAGAGGGGGCTATCCAACACCACCAAAACACCCAGCTCCAAGAGAGCCTCCAAACGAAAGGCTGGAGATCCCGCCGCCCCCATGATGAAGCAAGCTAGACTTTTGCTGGTAAGTTGACATTAATCGAATTTTTTAAATCTAATTCAATTATTTTCAGGACTTTCAATATCAGCCACATGCCGGTGGTGTGAGAATTGCGACTTGGAGAATCCGATAAATCAATGAGTTGGTCATCTTCGGTGTCTCTAGCACCGAGCCAACACCTGTTGAAGCAGGAGGAAGACGTTAGTCTTGTCAAAACATCTCTTCAAGAACCGAATTGCAACATAGCCGCTTTCATCAAAGCAGGACCCTATCAGCGTGAAGCACGTTTTGAAATTAGCTGTGGCATACCTATTCAGTATTAGGATGGACGGAGGACTGAATGATTTTATGACACACTTACCAGGATAGCAGAAAATGCGTTTGCGAAAAAATTATTTAGAGCAAACAGTTAAATAGCACAAGGATATGAGAAAACTAACTTCGCACATTCTTGAGCAACCGACCCACCGAATTCAACAAACATGCGTACACGTAAACGAGAAGAAGGGGTTTTAAAACTAGTTTTTCCTTCAACAAATCAGGGTAACTATGGAATAACATAGAGGACTAAAATATGACAACCACTTTCAAGTTGAAACTGGAAGTGGATACCGGCTGCCACTACCACCCCCTGCTCATAAATAAATTTGGTCATTTAGGTTTTCAGTTATCCTAAACAAAAAGTTCACAGAATTCTAGGAAAAAGAAAGCGGTGTGTATCATTTCAATTGCAGTGTTATATACTAAACAATGTCTCTTACAGGCTGGACGCTCCAACAACTTTAAGCTCTAAATATAAGTATCAATAGGATCATAACCCTCTAAAAGCCTATTCATATCTGCCAGTACCAGGATAACCTGTAACGTCATGGGAGTTGCCGAACATCTGCAATCAATGTGGTGGAATTTTTAATTCATTTCATCCACAAATAACATGGGTTGAGGAAAAAAGTATGCGGAAATTTGGGATCTGTTTCTATTTAAATACTCAATATCTATTGAAAAAAAAAAAAAAAAAAAAAAAAAAAATATTCAAGGGTGACGATAAAGACGTATTTCATTTTTATAATTATGAATATTGCTACAATTTATAGATGGTAGTCGCACTCACAGTCCTATTAACCATATTGGCAATGATTGTTGAGAATAAAAATAAGCTTTAGTATAAACTATGTTTTATTCTCCTGAGAATGACAGAGATGAAGCCACCATTGATTGATCTCTGTATACCACCAACTCACAGTCAAATAGCGCCAGCACACACTTAACATAATATCATACAACTTTTATTTATGTTCCAAAATTGTATCAAGATTATTTTCATTTCAATAATTTTTGAAAAGAAACTTCTTAAACGGCTTTCTGCTATTTGGACGACAATGGAGAGTGATTTGAAAAACGCGTCACGGGCAAATTTCGTTACTCGAGAGAGAAGAAAGATGTAACGTAAAGGAACAGAGAAAGACAGCTATTGATTGACACAAACCAAGGATTATAAGCGTCGAGAGGACTGCCCATTATTGACAAGCGCCGATATTGACGCAAATCAAGGATTATAAGCGTAAGGAGGATTGCCTATTATTGACAAGCGTTATTGGAAAAATAAAATCATTTCTGGCGAATTTCGAGGTTTTCCGGATATCTCTGGACAGCAATCGGAATTTTTGAAATATCAAAGCAGCATAATAATGAGCACAAAGTTGCACTATACTTTTTTCTGATTCAACAGACATCGGGTCTCTTTCCATAGGATTCCAATACAGGATTCGAATAGGATTCAAAATAGCTAGTATTCGAATGCTACCCAAGTCTCCCAAAGTTCCAAGTGTTATCACAGGAGTCTATTCAAAACATGCCACATTAGTAACAATTATCAAACTTCAAAATTGTATAACAGGAGACTTTCTCATTGAAATGAAGCATTACGTTGATAGACTTGATACTGTTTACAATGCCAATCCGCATTAAGTATACATGCCCCAGATGTAAGGGTGAAACTGATATACCTAATCGACTTTGTTTGCCTTGCGAATTTTCACAATTTGTTGAACAAAAAAGGATACCATCTCATTATTTTGCAAAACCCGAACGTAGAACCTAAATTATGAAGTTGTAAATTTTCTGCTAAATAAAACTTTTGTTATTATATTTTTCTGCTTTTTATTTATGACCTCTAGACTAGGTTAGGCTATAATAATTTAAACAAAATTCAACGAGAGCATTGTGCTCAATATTAGGATAGGCCATCGAATACTATATTGTTAAGCTTTTTTAAGTCGACACTTTCCGTATGGGGAGCAAAAGAAGGAAGGATACGTTAAAAAACAGGTGTGAGATCAGGTGACCATTGACGTACAATCGTAGGGAGTCACACCAACTCATATTGGATTATCACCTAGGGGATTCTTATCTTGTCACAAGTCGCTATGGCTCGCTAGCTGTCATTCGATACCTATTTCAATATCGGATGGAGAGTGATTCATATGTATTATTGTCGAATTTCGTATCGACATCAAATAGACGGTGGTATGAAAAACGAGAGAAAAATCGACCATCAAATTTGAATGATAGATGATAGATTATGTTTATTATTTTATAATTTATTTTTCGCTTCAATTCAAACTATTTTTACTTCTAAAGATTCCTTTCGCGTTGAAAATAATTTCAATTTTTAATTATTATGTTGCAACGAAATCTTAAGACAGCACCGTCAACAGCAAAACCTTCACTTTAGACGCACGACTCGTAGGGTAGGAGAAACTTAAATTTACATTTTTCTTCTCGTCTCTCAACTCCACACTCCCGTATTCCTTATGTGAGAATGACCGCGTTCACCAGCACTCAACATGTTGAGTGATTAGTCAGCGGCTTTGTTGAAAAAGATGAAATATAACGAAGGATTACATACACAAACGACAAACATAAAACATAAACACAACACATGACACCACAACTTGTCACTTCAAAATAAAAAAGGATAGCCAATTATTCGAACAAAGATCAGCAAATCGAAAAGCCGAAACGGAACCTCTTACTTACGTCAGAGAGTCGATCCGAACTAGCATAAGAATCAGCAATTCGACATCGAATTGGTCTTAAGAATTCCGCAGGATAATAAATGATGGACAGTATACACATGCAATTTAATTCATTTTACCTACTTATCAATAACTGATAGACTGTGCCTGACTCATCCATATAATATTATAGGTCCTGCAAAATATTAATGAAACCGAACAAACACACTGCATACATAAAACGTCCATTTTATGTCATATTCACGTTCATACGTCCATATGACCTATTCACTGATCTCGAAAATAAATGGATAAACAAAGAACGCTACTAATGCTGCGAATTCACGAGGTCAAAATCTAAACAAAAACAACTGACTGGGACAGCTGTGAGCATGCGCAGTAGATACATGTATTGTGCGTACACAAAATCTGGCCAATGAAAATGAAGGAATTTCGAAACTTAGAACAGTTGTTCGAACGATAAGACACTGCGCAGGCGTAAGGCTGTTCCGTTGCACAACTGTTCGTAGAATATTGACCCCAAACTTTCGCACAAATTATGCAAATCAAGCCGTATGAATTGTTTATCCATTTATTTTTTAGATCAGTGGACCTATTCAGAACGTACATAAGACGAACATTTTAGTAAAAACATTCATATTACGTACATTTACATCCACCATTTTGGTTTTATGTTAAAGTGTAAAATACAAACAGGTCACTGTTTATTTATTTAATTCCTCGTGTCTAAGTTTAACTTTGTTTGAATCTCTGTTAATCCTAGTAATTCAAATCATTGGCTTAGAAAATCGTGTGTTTATTTTAGTGGCAGGCAGACGTAATAATTAAAAATTGATAAAAAAATTTCTTGCCTCGACTGGAATATAAACCCAGGACCCCTGAATTTCCAGTGCAACGCTCTAACCAACTAAGCTACCAGGAGCTGTTTCATTTCTACCTTTTCGAATGTCGATCAAATCTGGAACGCGAAATAAATGAAAAATAGTATAGAAGGACTAACCACACAGCGTTTTTATGCCTAGGGAGTTTATCGATACCGTGGGAAAAATCTAGATCGACGATGCATTTGATCTGAAATTTCGGGGTTTGACCCGAACCAAACCCAAATTTTTGGGGAGTTTCCCGGAATTCGACCGCAGCTCCTTATCTCATGCTATCATCCTCAAAACACAGTTATCGTCCCGCCATCGAGCGTTATCTTCGTCGTCGTCTCGTCATCGATCGATTGCAAAAATTCTAGCCGGGGAATCGAGTCCTCAGACCATCACACCAAAATCCAGCACTGTAGACAAGGCACTAGATCCTTGAGTAATTATTGATAAAAAATGTTTGTAAGTAAAGTCTATACCAAGTCACTTGGACTAGCATAAAAACTAACTAAATCCCGGCATCCATCAGCTTTTTCTTTGTCAAACATGGGCAGCGTAATTTCAAAAAACAGTACTAAAATTAATAATCAATAGACGATGATGTCAATCAATCATGATCGGCAATGGCCAATCAGATCTATTGAGTCCACGTTTACTGGTATCGAACGTGTACATGGAGGATGAAGCCAATCAGATAATATACATATCCATTCTTACTTGTCTGGCTTCCAACGGGTACGAGGATCAATCGGTATAAATTTTGCTATATTTTTCAATATGTGATGCAGTATATTGACCATACGTTTATTTTAGGCTTGGTCCAAGTAACTTCGTATAGACTATAAAACGTTCTAACTATACAGGTCCAGAGACAATTATAAGTGTGTAGACAGCTATACAGGCCCAGAGACAGGTCCGATACAGCTTTTCGAGACAGATCTGTCTACACAGACTGCTTTTCGAGACAGCTTTTCGAGACAGGTCTGTCTACATAGACTCCTTTTCGAGACAGGTCTGTCTACACAGACAGCTTTTCGAGACAGGTCTGTCTACACAGGCAGCTTTTCGAGACAGGTCTGTCTACACAGACAGCTTTTCGAGACAGGTCTGTCTACACAGGCAGCTTTTCGAGACAGGTCTGTCTACACAGATAGCTTTTCGAGACAGGTTAGTAGTAACGGGGGCACCTGAGCCTGAGAAATTTTTCGATAGCGTGGAAAAATCTCTAAATCGGCGGCGCCTTTGATCTGAAACAACTATACAGGTCTAGAGATAGGGTTGTATACACCTATACAGGGCTAGAGACAGGCCTGTATACAGCAATGGTAAGCAAGGGTTAGTTTGGGTTAGTTATAGGTTAGCATAGGACCCCCCACGTCGTTGGGTCAGTTAGGGAAGATTCGTAACTGACCCAACGACGTGGGGGGTCCTATGCTAACCTATAACTAACCCAAACTAACCCTTGCTTACCATTGCTGTATACAGGCCTGTCTCTAGCCCTGTATAGGTGTATACAACCCTATCTCTAGACCTGTATAGTTG